CTTTCGTTCTTTGGGCTTAGAACAAAAGCCAAAGAAGTTCAACTTGCATTTTGTTCTAAGCCAGTGCTCGTGCTTGAGATCACAATTCCTGCACTGGTAGCACCAAAAGAAAGATAAACAAAACTTGCAGGCTTCAACAGCTTGTGCTTTGTGTGGATGTGTCGAGATTGGTTGGAGCCTTGTCATTTGCAGCAATTGTGCGTTCACTCATGCTTTAGTACCCTTTAAATCTAAATCTGCAAGCCGAGGGGGGTAGTTTGGCATTCTCAACTTGCTTGCAGGACCTAAATCTGGCGATCCGTCTGTTCACTCAACACAGGCCTCGTTGATCCTTCCTTGGGGTCCTCACTTGTTGGTCATTTCATGTTGGCTGTCCGTTCCTTGATTTGTGCATTTTCTTGTGAGAACCCTCTCATTTTGGCTGACTCTAGGTTGTGGACAGCATTGGTGCTTGACTTAGTCACTGAGTCCTGCAGGTTACAATCAAGTGCAGGTGCACTGGATTTGCAGACAGTTTCAAAGGTGCATGTCTACTGTGCGCTGGGAGACTATGTTTCTCCACTGGAGCTTTTGGTGCAATTCTCAATCTTTCGTGCTGGCACCATAATCGTGCTTTTATAAAGGCCCAATCGGAGGCTGTCTCAAAGTCAGATTTGGACGACTTGATGCCTAGGTGGGCGAATGCACTCAGCTGGCCAAGCGTTGCTCCGGAGATTCATCGCCACAAGAGGTGCAGCTAAATGTCCTCAAGTTGGTGGAAGCTGCGGAAGCCCTCCAAGCAAGAAATGCGTAGGTGTACAGTGCAATTTTATGGATCCGTCGATTTTTCTTCGCCAGCTTCTTATCGACAACTTATGTGCGGGCCAGGCACCTTTGCTGCAATGCCTACTTGTCAGAAAGTCCGACCTCAGCTGTACTTTCAAAACTGCTATTCTTTCATTCCCGAAAGCACCGCAAAGTTTTTGCCAAGACACGCACATGCCATTTTGACATGAGCTAAGCAGCTAATCTTCACATGAGCTGAATCTGCACACGCCTTGCACATGCTCACGGTTACGCGCTCACCTCTTTCACACAAGCTCGCATATGAGCTCGTTCTTTTTTAAAGATCGTTAAGGAGGTCAACAAGCCTCGGGTTGAGACGAGACTGGAGCAATCGGTTCTGATAACCAAAGCTCTTGTCATCGGTACCTTTGCAGCTTTTGTCATCGACCTCTTCCGTGGCCATTTGTTGACCCAATCGCAAGAGTGCTGTGCATGTTCCGAGTGAAAAGCGACCTGCATATGCACACCTGTGATTTCAAGCTTTGCGCAGACACACACACACAAGCACAAACATAGAGTTCTCCACAGGAGACTGTCAGGTTAAGCATGCATCCATCTTGCCATTCATAAAGTCAGGTAGTTGTTCGAGCCTTTTCAGCCTCTTTAAGGTTGTTTTTCTTTATCCACCGGTGCTTCGAGCTGAGAGCATTTCCGTTGGAACCCAAGGCTGGTGCTTCTTTCCGCCAACCAATGTCATCGTAGAATCTGCGAAGCAACGGTAGACATTGTGTTGGTAGGACACATTGGGCTTGGTGCAACCACCGCCGAATGCGATCACAGACTTGTGGATCCCCCAGATGGTCGTGTTGGATTCTTTCCAACACACCATATCGACAAACTGTGATTCAGGCTTGCCTGCATCTTCAAGACACCTGAACCATCGAAGGCGCAGTGCAACTTTGCATCTGCAGTTGCAGCAGTTGCACGAGTTGCGCACAGCTTTGGAGGCTCCTCCCATGTTTTTGCGACTGCCTGGGGCTCAATGAATCACGCTGGCTCCATGAGGAATTGGTGACTTAGTCAAGCACTTTCCTAAGGTTGCGCCTTTCATCCTTTGCATTCTTCCAGACTCTTTCTGCTTTGTTCACCTCCCCTTCTGCAGGCCACCTTAGTATTTTTGATGGGGATTGCTTTCCTCTTATGCTTTCCGATTAATGAGGCCGTGCTATGCAGGACCAAGCAGCCGCAGGTAAGGTTTCATGGTGGAAGGAGCCGATATCCGAGCAACATCGTCGTCAGACTTTGTTCTTTTTGTTTCTCTGTCCTGAGGGGAGGAACAACACGTCCTCGCATGTCAGGAGGAACAACATTCACTCTTGAAGACCCTCTTTGAGCTCATTGAGTCGAAAGTCTGAGATGTGCAAAGACAGAAATACCTGATTGTGCAGATAGGGCAAGAACCTATGAGAAAGAACATCAGAAACAGCTGCGCCAATTAGGTCATCCTTGGAAGTTGCCAGAAAGCAGTGTGCACAGGCCAGAGCTGCAAGAGCATCCAGAGCATCCCGGGTTGCTGCAGATGTCCTAGTAGTTCCAGGATGGCAACCCGCTTCCCGAACACACGGAGAAGGAGTTCCTGTGGCAGTAGCCCCAAGGAAAGACATGCTGGAGTAGCGAGAACGCCGAAGTGTCTTTCAGCTATGGCCTAAAACCTTTGCCGCACAGATGCCACAGCATTGTATCACTTGTCAACTCAATAATTCCATATAATTCCAAGGTTTGTTGCAAGATCCCTTCCTCGAGCGAGGGCGCAGCTGCCCATCCAGAAGGTAATGCAGGTTCTGTTTCATTTGTTTCTGTCGCACGCTTTAGAATCGGAAAATGGGCTTCGACATTCTTTGACTGTTTGGAGTTTTTCATCAACGTTTTGGGAGGTCGTTGATCAGGTGCTTGCGACCTCACAAGGCACTTGGCATTGGAGAAATGTGACGTTTCTGGCAGTTTGCAAGCGACACGAGGCACGCGGCACAGAAAGATCGAGCAACTCCTGATTGGTGTTCTGGCAAGCCAGGACTGGAGTCGGAGGGTCACATTTTAAAGCATGTTAAACAAGGATTTTGTAGTAACAAGGACGCTACTAGGGGCTCCTGGCATCGCTACTAGGAGCAAGAACGCTACTAGGGGCTCCTGGCCGTACTACTCAGAGCAAGGACACGCTACTAGTAACAAAAAGCTACTACCTGTGTAGACCCAGATTCTGCGTGACTGCGAGCGTTTTGTGAGAATTGGGTCTTCTCAGGATTGCTTTGACGACGAGCATTCAGCCGTTGTTATCACCAAGGCAACGGATGCATCAAGCTTCAACGCTTCATCTTTCCTGGTGGCTCTTGTGTGACTATTGGAAGGCGATGACTGGCTTTTGGGGCCTGGCCTCATGGCTACATGAGAGGATCCTTCCTTGCTCTTTTGCTGGACAACATGTTGCACTGGAGATATCCTGTCATTGCCATTTGGATCCAAGAGGAGTGGCGAGTATGGAAAGGCCTTGGATTGCAGATTGCAGGACGAAGAAGAACTGAATTGTTCAGTATTAACCCAGTAACAGTCAGTCATCCTACAGACTGCTTTTGCTTGGTCAGCAATCCAAGCAATAGGTCTTGGAGTCTTGGGGAAGGTTTGGTCCAGCTTCAGCAGGATCGAGAGCTCAGAGAGCAAATTTTTGAATACATCATTGCGAAGCTGGCAGAGGCTGGCAGAGCTCTTGTATTGTATTGAAGACTTGAAACCATGTTTCTGTGCTTCTCTATGTGATGTCAAGGAGTTGAATCCAGTGCTCATCGAAGCGACGCTGCAGCGGCTACAGGCGGCAGTGTGCGTGAAGCACATACGTGATTTTTTTGGTAGTCTTTCCTTGTGTTATTTTTTTCAATTGCAGTCTTTTGGCCTGGCCAGTGAGGCTCTCGTTGACGTTGACAACGAGCTGTGCTCTCTCATGCTGTGTGAGCAGTTTGCCCATGTACCTGACCATTCCAGCGTGTCAGTTGCTCAAAGAAGTCAGACCAACCAAATGTCGGTTTTATCATGTTTTATCATATGCAAGATAATCTGCGGCTGCTTAAGCTTCTAACAGGTCGGCAATCAAGAGGCATTGTGATCTCTTTTAGCTTCAGGTGGTCACGGTTGATGTTGAGCGGTAACAAACGAAGCGGTTTCTGATTTCTTCCTCCGAGGCTTGAAAGCCTAAAACCATATCCTCAAATGGAGATGCGATACTTGGAGGTCGTGTTTTTGGAAGGAAGAATAGATCCGCTAGCCAGTTTCGAGTACAAAGCCAACATGGAAAGCAACAAGATATGCATGACAGGAGATAGACTTCCTCAAAAACACACTGTTTTGTTTAAGTGTAGCTGCCACCTGCTTTCTGCTCATTTGGCAGGCACTCCTGAACCGATGGGCTGGCGTAGCTGATCGGCAGGCGCCGACAGGATTGGATTGACGGGGATTTGGAGTGAACTATTTGGATTCGCCTGAGCTGACAGCTGTTGCTTCTACAGATTCTACAGCTTCTGCTCCTTCTGGAAGAGAGTTGTTGATGTTCGCTTGAAGGCATTTTTCAACAAGCACGTGGTTCGATACATCGACTTGTACCGTTCTCGTGGTTCGAACAAGCCTGCCTTTGCAGTTGACTGCTGTTTCTGGAGGGGCCGAAACTTCGGCTTCGCGGAACCCCCACCAAGGCTATGCCAACATTTCCCCTCAGCTGTACTCCCCTTCATTCTTGAGAACGAGGCGAACTCTTGTTTCTGTGGACGTGACCTGAAACCAATCATGTTTTTTTTTTGAATAGTGGGCGTTCATTGCGAAGGCATTGCCCCTCAGGGAGTGCTTGGAGCTTTGCAGCAGGCACCTCCTTTGTGATTGTTTGGGTGCTGGAACAGAATGTGATTTGGACATTTAATGACCGCATGAGTCCACAAAATCCAAGGGCCTGACTCTATGTCCATTTGGCACCAGGTATCGCGTCACAGATGCATCTGTGCATTTGTTGGAGCGGACTGGTGACTTTGCCAGTGTGCTACAGCACCCTTCCCAGGATCCTAGGTCCATCAGAGCAAAATGAGTCACATCAGCGCATTGGTGTTTAGCTTCGACCAAAAAAGCGCATCATCAGTGCTCTGGATGCATGTTCTCTGAGGTTGTTTGGCTCATAAGAACGGAGGGTCAGGTCAGCTCCGATGTTCCCGCAGCTACTCCGTGGTGCTAAAGGCTTGCGCGGCCTGCGCTTGGGAGTGGCTGTCGGAGCCAGCAGTGCTGCTGGCTTTGCCTTTTGGCAACAGCGCAAGGTGCAGCAGCCAGTTGCAAGATGCGAGACTGATGCCACCACACTGGGTGCTGCCCTTGTTGGAGGATTGGGGGCAGGCGCTTTGGGGGGGTACGTCTTCGGAAAGAAGCAGGGTGAGGCTGCAGCTGAGAAGTACGAGAAGTATTGGCCTCGAAAGATCATGATGCTTTTTGGTGCCCCAGGTGCTGGCAAAGGAACTCAGGGGCCAAAGATCGTGGATGCCTTGGACATTCCACAACTTAGCACCGGTGACATGCTTAGAGAAGCTGTTGCAGCTGGAACTGAAGTTGGCAAGAAGGCCAAGGCAGTGATGGCTTCAGGAGGCCTCGTATCTGATGAGATCGTCATTGGGATCATTGCAGACCGCATCAAGGAGCCCGACTGCAAGTCTGGCTTCATTTTGGACGGCTTCCCCCGAACCCTAGCTCAAGCAAAAGCTTTGGACACCATGCTGGCTACGAATGGAGAGGCCGTCTCCTTGATTGTGGAATTTTCAGTGGATCCTGCAGTTTTGGAGGAGCGCATTTGCGGGCGGTGGATGCACAAAGCCAGTGGCCGCTCTTATCATGTGAAGTTCACCCCTCCCAAATCCATGAAGCTTGGTGCTGATGGAAAGCCATTGCCCGACACCATGAAAGATGACATCACCGGTGAACCCCTCTATCAGAGGTCCGATGACACAGCGGAGGCTTTGAAGACCCGTTTGGATGCTTACAAGAGCCAGACCCTTCCCATCTTGGAGCACTACAAGGATAAAGGTATTGTCAAGAAGGCCCATTCCGACGAATGCTGTTTAACAGTTTTGAGCTGTGGGATTCCTTTGGTGGTACTGTCCAATCCAGACTCTAGTTTACTAAGTAATGGAGGACTGTTTTTGTGTTGAACTGAACATTACTGACTGGCTTGAAGGTGGACGGTGGCAGACACATCAACGATGTTTGGACAGAGGTACAAGCCAAGCTGGTGTCGAAGTGAGATGCAAAATGAGTGGAGTCGCTGTGAAGTGCTCTGAGCCGATGCAAATCCTAGTTCCAGGTCTACCGAGGAATCTGGCTGCTTTCAAGACAGCCAGTTTTCGGATGCGAAGCGACGTTTTGACTGGATGAATGCCAAAAAACATTGCACAGTGTCACATTGCTTTATATGCAGTTGTATGTTTCAATTTGCTTAAAAGTTGAAACTGTCACCTTTCTTTCTCCTCGAGTCATTCAAGGCTGGTGCTTGGTGACTACCAAGAGGCGATTGACAAACTCTGTGCGTGCAGGGCTGAGGCCAAGTGCAGTTCTTGTGGGCTATGGCATGCGAAAAGACTCGGTCTCAGGTGCTTCGGAGGGTTAGGTGACCGAGGTGACCGTGCTGCAGTCTCGAAAGCCGGACGCTTGGGGGTTCGGACCGCACATAAGTGAACGCTCACTGAGCGTTCGGCAAGGCGGTGAAGCGACTTCTGGCAAGCCAGGAGGGTAGTCACGGGTAGTCTTGGTGATGGGAAGACGCTTGACAGATTGGAACGCAAGGACGCTGCTGGGCGATCTGCAGAGGCTTTTCAACTTAAGTTTATTTGTTCAAGTCATTCAATGACAGTCATTCAGCTTTTGTTGCGCTTTTCCAAAGGCTTGGTGGGATGGTCTTGCAGAGGCATGTGCTGCGCTTTTGCGGATTTGACATGTCCAGTGCCGTTTGGGCACCGTTTGGCCGGAGGCACAGAAGTGCATGAGCCTTCTGCAGAATGTCTACGACTTAAGCTCCAGGACAGGGCTGCAGAAGGGACAGCTGGGGTATTTCCGTGACACATCACGACCATCACTGGTACATCACGGTGCACTGCTGCATAGACCTTTCCCCTCTGAATTTCCAGGAACTCAAACATCATGACCGAGGCACAACTGGAGGCGCAATGGCAGAGCTCATTAAGCATCAATGGCAAAGCGGAAAGCTTGGATGAGGAACTCTGGTTTGGCATTCTGGGCTTCACGGTGCGGAAGCAGGCCGTTTACCTGGTGTACTGTATTCCTTTTCCAAGTGATGGCTGTCATCCACTTCAAGGAAAGCCTGTCTGAATCTTCTGGAGCCTCGGAACGTTGGCAGCTCACGGAAGCGCACGGTCTTTTTCCGGAAGGCTCAGCTTTTGGTCCGTGCTGAAGCTGAGGTCGCAAGACAGGACTGGGACTAGCTCTCCGGGAGATGTCTACCAAGGTGCAGCGGGTGAATCCAAGAAGACGGTTGCTCTTCGTGTTAGTGCTCAGGCCATGGCAGGTGTCCTGGCTTATTTGCAGCTTCCTCAGCTTAGTTGATTGTCAATTTGATGATAGGATTGTCCTCGGACCTGATTTGAGGTCGCTGCCAAGATGTCTGAAATGGATTTGTACTGAATTTGGTCAATCCACTCTGGGCATTTGGAAGGATCACCATAGTGCCTATTTGTTATTCGAGTGCTTGGAATTCACTACAGTACTTATCTTGCAATTGTGCATGAGCTCCATGCACTGATTTCAAGCGCCTCCCCATTTTAAGGAGCCTCTTCCAGTGTTTGCAGGAGCCTCTTCAAAGCATGCTCTCGGGCCTTGGCTTTCAGCAGGGACTTCTCCAAGCCGCCGCTGCTGTTGCTGCTCAGGAGCACAACGCAGTTGTCAGCCGTTCATTTGGTCGTTGCATTGTATTTTTACTCGATTGATACCAAGACACTTGGAGTTTTTTCTTGTTCTAACAATCTCTTGGTGACACGGTGACACTTGAGGGTTTGAGATCTTGCAAAAGGGATGAATTCTGATAGTCACCGGTCGCAACCAGACCTAGCTGACCTAGCTGACCGCCATGCTTTGCCATGCTGGCCTGGAGGATGTGATGAAACCCTTCTCTGTGCTGAAAATGTGTGGCAGCCGCGGAGCCCTGGTGTCTCCAAGGAGCGGAGCGCCCGAGACACTGTCCGACGCTGTGGGCTCCTTGCCTCGACCCCGAATGGGGCAACCGAGACGACTCGGCCATTGGTTTGCTTCTGCGGATACATATATATATATATGTTTATAATTTATAATACCAATTTAGACGTCCTTTGGCTACTGTTACTAATACTTGTACTCCTAGTCCTACTTCTAGTAGTAGTAGTAGTGGTGGTGGTGGTGCTGCTACTACTGCTACTGCTACTGCTAGGGCTACGGCTACTATGGCAACAGCTATGGCTACGGCTACGGTCCTCCTCCTCCTCCGCCTCCTTCTGCTGCTACTACTCCTGCTGCTCCCGCCGCCGCTGCTGCTAATGCTATGACTACGGGCACCTGCTACTGCTGGATCTCAAACCCTTCAAGTGCACGTGGGCAGGAGTGCCTTCGTTGATGCCCTGCACTTGGCAGGACTTTTGCATGTTTTTGTAAGACTTGTTTGAGGTGGAAGAACTGCATTCTTGTCATGTGTTTTTTCAACAAGCTTGTCATCATTCTGCTTTAAGGGTGGCACTGTGCGAGTTCCGCTAGTATCCCCTGCGAAGGCGTGTCAATTGAGGGAGGACTCAGCAGAGTGCTTTAACAGAGCTAGTCATGTTGATACCTTTGTGCAGGCACGCGCAGGAGGCTTCTCTGGAAGGCTGTGCCTTTGTCACATTTAACTGTTCTTGCACTCACCTGAGCCAGTGCGGTCTAGGCTGTCCACTGATGTGCGGACACTGCAAACAAGCGAGCGCTCACGACAAAAACGGAATGCAATAAAGTCTAAAGTGTTTTGCGTTCTTGCCTTTTCTTCAGAAATTTGTGTGGCTTTTGCAAGATAAAGTTTGCATGAAAGCAATTTAAGCTCAAGGGTTCTGGGGAGTATATTTGCGTCCAAATGGCAACTGGTTGACTCGAGGCAGCTGTCTCAGGTTAGAGTAGAAAACTCTGATTGTGTGGCCAGGCTGAACGGAAGACTGAAGATATGATTCAATGATTATGGACTTGCGTTGGTGTACGTCTTGCCTCCGTTCTTTGTAGGTCCATGAGCAAAGTCAGAGCCGCACTCGGCACACTTAGCCGGCTTTGTGAGTAATCAATTTGTGAAAACTTGTTCAGGCTTGACCAAATGTTCTCATTGATCCCTTCACGCGATGCTAATTTATTCTTGAGGTAGAAGCCCACAGTTTGCAAATGGCCTTTGATGGACAGGATCCGCCGGTGTTCCCAGTCCATGTTCAGTAGTTCTGGACAGTTTTGAGCTTCATACATCTCTTTGATACATGAGGCATGAAGAAAGCATCAAAGTTTGCTGCAGGCTCGTGGCTGTTTTCGCAAGTTCTGTCCTGCAACCTCCCTCTCTCTGACATGTGACAGTGTAGGTTCCGGCCGCAGAACCAGCTGGAGAAGGATCAATCTGGGAAGATCTGCATAACCCTAGGTGATGACATCACCTCAGTGTGACCCGCGTTTCCGATTCGGCGTGTCATCGTTGATAGATCAATTGAAGGGACAGCCGATTCTGCTCTCTCCTGTAGATGAAGTAGGGAGTCGAGACAGGCGGCTGATCATAGACCCTATTTATTTTTTTCAGAACGGAAGGCCCTGGCAGTGCAGGTGTTTGACATTTTGCAACATATTTTTGTTTTGAAGTACTGCGATGTTTGCCTGGGGTCTTTTGTTGAAGCCAAGTCACATGTGTGGTGAATGCTTGTCAGAAAACTAGGGAAAAACCAACAGGTCGAGATTCCTGGGGCTTCCGGGCTTCCACACAAAATCAAGCAAGAACCAACAAACCGGGGAAACACACACTAAACCGTGAAGCAATCACCAACAAAGCAACCTATAATCAAAACAAACTCTTTTGGGGACCCTGACTGCCAGCCGAAGACCTCTCATTTTTTCAATTTTGGGACAGTCCTGGGACAGTCGACCTATCCCGCCCATCCCTTCTTTTTTTCCGCGGTAATGTACAACTTATAGATACCTGGCAATCTTGATTTGCAATTTCCCCTTTTGACTAGTTTGTGCGTCCCTTTTTGTAAGTTTATATACTCGAGCCTTACTTGGATCCTCCTTCATTCTTCAGATTTCCGCATGCTAAACTGATGGTCTCATGCCCCGTTTAATTTTGGCTGCTCCCGCTTTTTGCGGCACCAAACCCTATCCTCCTATCCTTGAAATATGTTCAAAACATATTACAATCCGAACATATTTGATTTTTTCTTGATTAGTGTTCCTATACCCTTGCTTTGTTCCTACTTTGTCTCTGTTCTTCGTATTCAGCTTTCCTTTGTCAAATTGGTTTGATTCATCTCTTACTTCTTCCTGTGTTTCTTTATTTCTTGATCTCTTCTTCACATTTTTACATTGTTAGTTTTGATTTGCTCACCAGCTGTTCCTATTCTCGAGAGGCTGTCCTCTTGATCAAGTAGATTTCTATTTCTCGCTTAGCACCGTCATTTTTGCTGAGAAACAACAAGGAACGCTATAATGTATGGAGCTAGACCAGATACAAGAGGATTAATTGGTCGCTGTAAATCATATAATTACAACCAGTCGCTCGTCTATGAATCACTCTCCTGCTCAAGTGGCTCTTCCCTTCTTAGCTAGATTGTTGTTTGTGGATGAAGCATCTACCACAGTTTCATTTCTCAAACAAAAACATCCAAAATTGCGGTTCTCACAAAGAGGGACACGTTGCTTGTATGTATGCATATTTACGCTATCAAGTTTACAAAAATAGTGTTCAAGAAGGCAGTTTTGGAAAATGTCATCATACCCAACGTTTGATCATCAACGGTGTTTTATACCAAGTTGGATTTGTTTTTACATATTTACTGTATAAGGACAGCAATTTCATGACATGGGTTTACACATGTCGGGGGATTACATGCCACATCAAAACACATCAAAGTGCTAAAAGGGTATGCCCTGCCACAGCCTGTCGGACTCTTTGTTTTTTTCTACGTTTGTCGAGGACAGATTTCAAGGTTGGTGACAAGAGATGCTTTTCCTTTTGCAATTGTGAGGGAACCGTTTTGTGAGAAGTTCTAGCACCTTCAGAGCTAAGGGCAGCTCTTGTTTGCAACGCAACCACGCAGCCACGAGACTCCAAGCAGCATGCACCGTGCTGCATGCTATCTTGCTTCCCAAGATTGCAGCAGGATGCAATTTCGAGATGCAGACGCTCCTCGCGGCGTGTGCTTCCTGATGTTGCTGGTGTGACCAAGAGGTGTTGCCGGACAAAACCGAAAGGAACGACAGTACATGACAAAAGGCAACAAAAAGATTACAATCCAGACTGACTCCATTTATCAGACGATTCGGGACTCACGCTGGCGAAGTGCTCTCGAGATGATCTTACAACGAGAGCAGGAGGGATTTCCTTTAGTAGAACGAACAGTGTTGAGTGCAGTTGCACGAGGTGCCCGTTGGTTGATGGTGCTTGCTTCGGTGGGAAAGATTCGTGATTCGGCTTCGCGGTCCAGTAGCAGTGAGGCAACTGGAGCTTGTGGGAGAGGAGGATGGTGGCTTGGACTAGAAATGCTTCAGAGACTGAGGTTTCTTGGCATTGAACTGACGGTGGAATGCTTCAATGCTCTATCAAGTGCTTGCGAGAAAGCGAGTCGAAGAAAAGAAGGAGAGAGCTGGAGGTTTTCTTTGCGGTGCTTGGAAAGAGTTTCAGCGCACGCTTTGGAACCAAGCAGAATATCTTACAACACAGCCATGGCTACCCTGGGACAAGCACTTTTTTGGCACCGAAGCCTTTCGCTCGTTGGTTTCATGCGAAGCGACATGGCTTCGCCTGATGATTTCAGTATCAATACCTTAGTGACTGCTTGTGAGAAGAGGTTGCAATGGGAGGCAGCCGTGTCAGTTGTAGACCAATTCTGCTTACATTCGGCCATTCAGGTTGACGTGATTGGGAAGAATGCTGCCATCAGTGCATGTGGAAACAATGGACTGTGGCAATTAGCATCCTCACTGTTTGCAAATTTGAGAGACACAGGCGTTCGTATGACTCAAGTCTCACTGGCAGCCACTGCGAGTGCGTATGAGAAAGCAAATCTGTGGAAGTGGCCAATCGAAATATTAAGGCACTCCAAGAGGTCAAAAGTTCTGGTTGGCCCAGTTCTTTACGGAGCAGCTCTGGATGTGCTGGAGAAGTGCGGCATTTGGAAGGAAACAGCACAAATCATGGAGGAGTTGCGATCAATTCCCAGCAAGCCGGGTAAGGAGCAAATCGATCCACTGGCCATGTCTGCTGCGATTTCGGCCTGCAGCAAGGGAGATTGGAGACAGACCTTGTCTCTCACTGTTGAGGCTGTGAAGAATTCCCCTGACGCGTTGAGCACAGAAGCATGGAATGCGTGTCTCCGTGGATGCATTCCCTATGTTGGTGAAACTTTGTTGGCTTGGATGGACAAATCCTATTTTGAACCTGATATGCTGTCATATGCAGCCTTGGATAGCTCTCAACACATCATCCCTGGGGCACAATCTCAACTTGTGTCCAAGGTGAGGTTAGAAGCTGTCCGTGCACTGTGGAGATTGCGGGAAAAGCTTTTGAGATTATATGCCATGATATCGTGAAACGGATTTGAAACGGATTGAAGACAGTTCAAGCCAAAACTCCTGTTTGTTGATTCAGGTACGTTCCGAACATTGACAGCAGCTTTGTCTTTGACCGTGTCTTTGGCTCTGAAGCTTCGCAGAAAGAGGTGACACCGTTCGCAGCTTTTGTGACAATTTTGAGCCGTAAATAGTCATTGCTTGGAGGTTTATGACTATGCGGCGAAACCTATCATTAATGGCGTGCTGGACGCTGAAGACAATTGCAAAGTTGAATTTGCCAGCCACACAATTAGACATGTTATCTATTCAGTTTTTCCAGTATGTGCGCAATGCAAGGTTGAGAGGCTTTAACGGCACGGTTTTCGCCTATGGTCGGGATCCCAGCTTGTTGCAAAAGGTGTTCAACATCTCCCGAAGACATCAGGCCAGACCGCATCAGGCAAGACACACACTATGGAGGCATTTCCGAAGCACCCAATTTGTTGAAGGATGTGCCCTTGTGCAGAGTGCTGTATGTCAGGGCCCTGACATCGAAGATGAGGTCCAAATGGGTGTGATTCCGAGGCCACTGTACTCGAATGCTTGATTCATGACAAGGTTGCGATGACGGAGAAATTTTGATCTTGATCGCTATGTCGCTATGTTTTGAGCAGGATGGTTTGGTCGATTTTTGATGGAATTGACCATGTGCGGGTCCTCGACAGATGAGCGGGTCAGTCATGACTTGGTTGTTTTGGATGTATGACTCCTTGTGTGTGGGGCGAACAACTCTGAGGCAGCTGACTACATCGAGTTTGTGGTGAAAGTTGCCATTGTGGAAATCTACAATGAACGCGCGACTCGAAAACATCTGCGACTCTCGCATCCGTGTGTTTTCAGTGGCACCGCAGGCATCCGTGACTTGCTTGATCCGAAGAAGGACAACTTGAAGATTCATGAGGACAAGGCAAAGTTCATGACGAAACCGTTTTGTTATCCACAATCAAAGTATATCAACATAAAGAAAAGCTGAGCAGCTGTACTGAGGCCAGAGGTGTTTTCATCGGAGGGGTGACTGAGACCTATGTCGGGTGTGGCATCCAAGAGAAGGGACCAGTAGCTGAGAAAATGTGCATGGATTTTTGAGTCGACCTAGGTCGGAGCAGGAGATCTTCGACATCATGTCACTTGAGAGAGTGATACCAGGGATGATCAAAATTAACGATGGATTGGTAACGTATTGGGGTTCGCGGTTAGTTGGGGATGGACATGGGGACACACTAAATTCTCACCAAAAGTTCCATGCCCTTTGACCATCCCTCCAAAAGCATTTTGCCGCTTTGTTGGGAAGCTTCATTGAAGCATCCGGAACCGGCCAAGGAAAACGGGCAAGTACAATCGTGCAGTGGCTGAGACCAATTTGAACGAACATTCATCCAGGCCTAAGAATGGTGATTGCCATGTGCACAAATGCTCAGCAAGCATTTACTTTACATAATTGTAATAGTGCGCCCCATCGCTTCATGTGTTCTTTTTTGTTTCTTTTTGTTTGGTTCTTCTTTTTCAGGTCTCATTTGATCTTCATGCTCACCATCGAGCAGAAGAACCTGCACGATCGCTCCCTCAAGGCTGGGCGCTCAGCATGCGAAGCCCAGCGAAGCTGGGCGCATGCGAAGCTCAGCGACCTGCCCACGGAGTGTGCCCAGTGCCCAGGTCGGAAAGCTTCATTTGGTGGATTTGGCTGGCAGTGAGAAGGCGATGTTGTGCCCCCCCCCCCCACGCTGCGCGTGGGCCCAAAGAGAGATGCGACTTCTGTTTGCCAGGTTGGAAAGACTGGGGCGACTGGTGATCGGTTGGATGAGGCCATTCACAGAATGCATGATTGCATGTTGCATGCTTCCGCGGCTTTGATTCAGGCAAAAAACATCAACCGGTCGCTGTCTGCACTAGGCAACGCCCAGGCCTCAAGTGGGTTCTGGTTAGCCAAGGGAAGCTGCAAAAGTCCCAGGTGTACCATCGCAGTTGTTGGAGCCTCCAATTGTCCAAGGTGCAAATGACGAAGGCCCAAATGGCCCAAAGAATCCATGAGCCAAAAACCAGAGAAGAACATTAACTAGGAACAAGGACGCTACTAGGGGCTCCTGGCATCGCTATATACTAGGAGCAGGGACGCTACTAGGGGCTCCTGGCCTTACTACTAGGAGCACATGACATTCAGATTTGGTCAAAACATGTGTGTAAGTCATCGTTTCTGGTGGGTTCTCAGAGTTTGCCACCTGCCTCGAGACAGCGATGTCACGTCCAAGGTCATTAACGCTTTGACTGACCGCAAGTCCACTCATGTACCATATCGGGACTCAAAGCTTTCAAGAGCCACGGCCCTAAGTCTCAGCGTTTGATGCCACCAAGCGAAACGGGACCCTTGCTTGAAGATTGTCGGCGCAGGTCCTCCAAGAATCCTTGGGCGGAAATGCAAAGACCTCTTTGATCATAACGTGCTCTCCTTCTTACTATAATGAGCAGGACTGGAATGCATTTTCATGTGGATACCAAGCACTTGCGGCCAAGCACTTGCATTCTACGAAGCCAGGAGACAATTAGCACCCTTCGTTTTGGCCAGAGAGTGACTGGGCATTTTTCCGGAGTTGGAATGAATTGGACAGCCTCACTCGAGCACGCCTTTGACCTTCTCTTCCTTCATAATTAGGTGTTTGTCCTTTCTTTTCTTTAGGACTTTAGTGACTTTAGGCTTTTCTTTTTCTTCCGTGTCCTCAATCAAGGCCAAGATGATCAAGAACGTGGTCAAAGTCAACCATGAGCGATCCGTAGAGGCCTGGGACCTACCTTTGAACCAACGGACCCGACCCTTTGAGCGAGAGTGGTTTCCAGTGATGTAATAAAGATAATTAAAGTATGTAACAAGAAGCTATTAGAAACAAGTGCCACGCTAGTAGTAACAGGTGCCTTACTAGTATTAACAAGAAGCTATTAGTAACAAGTTTCAGATGTCTTCACTCATTGGAATCTTTCAATGGCCGTGGTGGTGGATCGATGCAAGATTTGTCTTTGCGCGTCAACCCTCAACGCTATTAGAACGGCTTCAGACCCAGGAACTGAAGATGCTGCTACAACGGCGGGACCAGGCACAGTTGCATTCAGATCATTTTGTGGGCCACGCTATGCTTGTGATGGTCATTTCGGTGAGTTTGAATTTTTCAGCCGCGATGTGACGCAAGGCTCTAGGCGATTTGCGTGGTCGTGTCTCGCTGTATGGCTCTGAGTGAAGAAAAAGAAGACCTTCTTCCTTTTCTTTTTTCTTTTTTTCTAATATATAGCAATGGCCTCCACCCTATAGCTGATTATAGCATTGGTGTGCGTCAGAGGTTGGAGCAGCTGCTTCGGTCCAATGGGATTCCGGTCCCGGAGGAGCACACGACCAGCAGTAGCTTGACACGTCAGGCTTGTGTTAGAAAGTGTTTCTTTCGGCGCATCCAGGACGAGGGTCCTTCCCTCGCGTTGCCGGGAGCTGCTCCGCCCGCACCAGTCGACGAAGCAGAGAAGACGGAATACGAGGATCAGCTACAGGACTTTGTTGCTTTTGTTCTTGCAGCATTGGCAGACATTCTTGAAACTTGATCAGACAGTTGCTTCTTCAAGATTTCTGAGTGGCTACTCGTAGCTGACTCTTCCAGGATGTGATAGACAAGTTGAAAGAGAAGTCTGATCAGCTTGCCGAGGTGACAATATTGACTTGGCCATTGTCCAGTTTCAATATGCCAGACATATTGAGCTATTGCTTCTCACCACGCCTCTAGTTTGTGTCGATGCTCCTCGTCACAGGCCAACAAGGAGAAAGATGAGCTAGCCAAGTTCATGACTTAGCTCCACCATGTGAACCTTGCATCAATATTGAGAGCACGGCAACATCGTTAGACCAGGCAGCTGCACAAAGCCGAAGGCAGAGCCGAAGTATTAGAGGAGGAAGCCGTCAATGTTTGCTTCTTAAGTTCTTTTTTCCTGCATTTGCATGAAGACGATGCGTTAAACTCCAGTTTCTGAGGCCAAGCAGGAGTTTGAGAGGATGGAGTATGACAAGACAGAGCAGGCATGCGCTTGGTGTGATTCTGAATCTGTGTGAAGCAACCGGCTGAAACCAAATGCTGTCAGGTGTCTGAGCTCGAAAAGTGCGCCGAAATTGACAAGTCGTCAAGTGGTTGTAGCGGTACTGGGTGATGGATTTCCATCTCGGTTTGTTGAGACAAACATGCCAGGCTTAGACATGAGAAGACAGCCTTGCAGCAAGAATTGGAGGAGCGTCCATGGCATCTTTGTGCAATCAGACATGGTGTTTTCAACCTTTACAAAGGCGAACGACCGAATGACCGAGGATTTGAGCAAGACTTATCAAAATATGATTCAAGCCTCAGTCTGGTGCCTAGAGGAACTGGTCCAGTTTGCAAGCAAAACCGGCGGCTTGGCACCGTGGCAGGCTGCTAGTACCCCGACGAACAGGGAAAAGGGGCCGTGACCTTACCGACCAGAAAAGAGAAAGGACTTGCACAGCAGCTCCACTTGATGCAGCAGGGGTTGGCCTCTAAGGCCTGTGGTGTGCTCTCGCTGCCGTGCATCTTGTGCAGAGGCGTGGCTATGTGTGAAGAACCAGCCACTGAGTATGTCTCAGTCTGGTGCCCCAAACCACGGACATTTTGCTTGCAGGATCGAGATCCCGACAGACCACTAAAGAAGAAGGTGCTCACCAGGCCTGGACTATTCTGGCAAAAGGAGCAGATGAACTGCAGGTGTCGCAGTTGGACAAGAATCTGGAACAACTAACTGTGGCTCGGCGTGGCTGGTAGACTATGATTCTGTGGAAAGGCAAGTGGACAGATTTAGAAACTTTAGATAGAATTTATACTCGTCCTTTGCAGTCTTTGTATTTGAGGTGATGTACCACAAGCTGGTGGCGCAGAATAGTGGGCTGAAGGTGAAGCTAGCCTAGCATAGTCCTAACTGGGCCCACAAAGCAGTTCTGTTTGAGGTGGAAGTCACCGAAAGTGACAAGAAAATTCAGCGGAAAGACCAGCGCATCCAGCAGTTGGAAAGAAACTTGCGGGAGGCCCTGTGATGGGAATCACGTTTGGGCAATGGTTTTCGAGAGTGTTTGTATTGAAAATTGAAAAGCACAACTGGTTAGTAAGTCAGTTTGCCTTTGCATGCTTTGGTCCCAGCCTTCTCAGCTATCCGCGGGCTTTAGACCTGGGGTGATCTACACTGGTTTGACTTTCCGTGAGCTCACACAGGCCAAGCAAAAGTACGAAAAGCTGCTCACACAATGTGCCAATCTCACTGCCATGATCGACGCAAGTGCCTCAGAGATGGCAGGAGACTTCTAGTTTCTACTAGCTTCTTGTTACTACTAGTAAGGCACCTGTTACTAGTAAGGCACACTTTCGCTGTCGTGCGGAGGTGAGAGGCAGAAAGAATTGTGTGTGTGGTGCCAGTGGTGGCAATGCACAGGCTCCTTCTTGTGATGTCGCGTGAGCGCAATCTTCTCTACCTACCGCACCGGAATCTCAGGCTCGAAGAGCGCCGACCATTGTGCGACCGCTGCGTGGTGGGCTTGTTTCAGCTCGTCAGACGCTCAATGAACTTCTCCTGTTTTCCAGCTTTGTGCTGCAAACACGCTTCACTTGATGGTTTTATCGTTTTTTTCTCAAAGATTTGTTGGAGACTCTTCTGAAAAAGAGATCAGTTCATCCCGCTCATGCCTGAGGCAGCGAGACAGGCCTTGTCTGGAGCGGTAATGATTTCCTTCTCTGAGCAGCAAGAGACTCAGTGCAAAAATCAGTCGTCTGCCACGTCAGGTCTTGGGGATCCGTCTGCCCTGAGCTCAGCAGCACAGGAACTTCAGTGTTCCTTTAGTTTCTGTCGTGTCTCTGAGGGAACTCCGAAAGCGACCTCTGGAAGCCCCTCAGAGCCGGTTTGGATCCTAACTCGATAAGGAAAGGCGTGAAGGAGAGAGGTTCGACAAGTCTTGGATTGAAATGAGCATGTGGAGCACTAGTCTGTCAGCTCCTGTGGAACCTTTCAGGCTTCAAGCCCCACTTCATCTCCCTTATCTCTAAGAGGGGGGTCCGCTTTCTCAGATATATATCTGAAAAGCTGACGGCCCTGCCAGTCAATCGAACCTAGGACCAAGACGTCTCGAGACAATACTCGAGCAAAGACTGCACCGTTTGGAGCTTACAGCTTGGCCCACTAGTATTAAAGCGCATTTCTACTAGGAGCAAGGGCATCGCTACTAGTAGCTTCTGGCATTATTACTAGTAGCAAGAAACTACTAGTAGCAAGGCGCATCGCTACTGCACTTGCTCTCCAATCACTGCAAGATGAAGGTACGATCCTCCATTGCGATGAGGGGTTCTGTCTCTTGAAGGCCTCAATTGTGAGAACAACAATCGCAACAACTTGGTAGCATTCATGCTGAGTTGGAGATCAACGCAGATCAGTATTGTACATTGTTAAGCCTGTTAAGCATCTTGAAAGTAGATGTCTCACCTGACAAGAGTGTCTCACCAATGGTTGAGACAATGAAATTACCCGGATGCTACAGGGATTGTACGCGTCTTGTCTCTGACAGAGAAAAGGCTCCCTTTGTGAGTATTGCTTTGCAAGAAGCTTGGTAGCTACCGGCAGAGTAAATCCTTTGCCATTGCGTGGAAAGAGCCGTGGCTCCAGCTAGACTGATATGCGACAACTGCAAATCTTTGCTCAGACTCTTCAACCTTTTGCATCATCTGTGAGAAGGGGATAAACCCTGATTGTGAGTAAGTCCTTCGAGCATTTGTCAGTATTGGTCCTTGGTTTTTGTTTGAATTGAAAGACTTGTTCAGCCTTGACGCTTGCCACAAAATGTACACAGTTGCCATCCAGCCTGGACTATTCAAGCACGCCCTAATGACATGGCGCATTTGATTTTCCAATGACATGGCGCAAGGATCTTGGTGACTCATAATTCAGCCCACCTGTGGGCTGCTTGCAGTGCTTGCAATTTAGAATATGCAAGGTCACCGTCCGAAGACCCTCCAAGCCAAGCAAATGAGATACTGGCATGTGCTTTTGCTTGCTTTGCTTGGGTCCTTCTGCCGTGGATATAGATGTCCACAAAAACAGAAGGTGCCAAAGATGTTGTGACTTCGTCCATACTGTCGCAGCTTGCACGTCTTTGTGCACATATTTCCCAGCGTACCTTGCGGCCTCGATTGTCTATGAAGCTGCCTGATGTCAGGAAAAAGACAATATAGGAAGCACAGAGCTGAGAGGGGATGGGAAGCCATCCCCCCCAAGCATTCACACCCTCCACACGGCGGCCGGACCCTACCTAAGGTACAGACATATTTGGGCAAGGTGGGGGTTTTGGAGAAGGTGGTGCGCCAATCTGCAAAAGGTGCTGGGCCGGATCTTTTCGGTTTGGCTTCGCTGCTTTCCAGACGAAGTTGGTTTGGTCGCGAGGGATGTGATTCTACGGCTTGTCTGCTCTTTGCTTGGATGAACACTCTGCAGGTACCTCTGCTTTCGGTTTTCTGAACTCAGCTTCTGAGGCACATGTGTTAGTATGCGTCACGGTTTCACAAGTATCATTAGACTCTACTGCGTCAGTAGCCTTCAAAGAAGGCAGGGACAGCTACTCGGCCTCATGGGCCTCATAAGCTAGCCGATGCTCTTTACACTTTCAGTAGCCGTTTCAGTGTCCCAAAGCCGTTTCAAGCCAGTTGTTGGAAGATTGCTTCAATGAAAGGCAGCAAATTCGCAGCCTCAAGTTGTGAGCTTACACAGATCGAGGGTCTTTTGAACACAAGCTCACAATGACAAGCGCAGCCAGCGCAGCGACATGTTCGCTGAGGAGTCCGTGTTCTCTTTCCTCAACAGCGCCGAGGTACGAAGCGTAGACGAACGTAGAAGTGTTCTGCCGCAGAAAGCTTGATTGACATGCACAGGTGGCGGAACCAACACCCGCTCCTCTGCAAGAAGGTAGCCCGTTGCCAGTACCCAAGTTTCCCAGGAAACATCGAAACCAGTAATGACTTGCGGCAAGCTGTGAAGGAATCTGCCTGCATCAACCCTTTCGGTCTTACACCGAGCCAGTTCAGGTGCTCCACTTCCTGGCTCTGAAAGAAAACCGTGATAAGGTATCATATGCTAATGACGCTTATGATATGGTTCTATGGCTTTTACGACAAACACCCAAGGCAGGCGGACCCAACACACCTGGACCAAATGATCCTGTTTTCAGTCCAAAGCGAAAGACATGTAGACATCGAAGGTAAGAGCGGTAAGGAAACCAGGGTGTAAGCTGATAAAACACCGCTATCATATTGACCAGCTGAAGCTGTACCTGTAGCCGCTCAGGGGTGGGGGCTCTGCCTTTGCCTTCCTCAGTGGTGGCAGTGCTGGCAGTCAAAGCTCCGTCGAGATCTTATCCATGGGTAAGCCGGACCAATTCAAGACGTTCAAGACGATGCTTGCATGTAAAGAAATACGATATTTCAAAGACTCTGGAGGGTTTAGGCATGCACTGAGAAAGACAGTTCACCGCAGTGTGTGCGCCGTTCCAAGGACCATGAGCACCCTATTGAAGTTCCAGGGATGGCCAGTGCACACGCTTCACCTAGTGTCCCCAGCATAACAAGTGCACCTACCGCAGCAAGTGTGCCTGGCATAGCAAGTATACCTGTTGCATCAAGCGCAGCGAGCGCAGCTGTGCCAGAGAGTGGCGCAAGAAGGAAGACACGGAAGGCAGAAGGGGGATTATGAGGACAATGACGTATGAGAGAGCTTGCTTGTGAGGACAATGACGGAGAGCCAGTCAGTCAACAAGCCAGGGATTCATTTGGATTTTCATTTCGCCCGATGGCTCCAAAAGTTCTTTCTGTTCTTCAGATGAGCGTTCTTGATCAGGCTTTGCTGCCTGGCCATGCATCGCGACCACAGGAGGCTGTAATGGTCCGCTTTTGTCCCTGACACCTCCAGTCATTCACAGCCATGCCTGTCTCTCTTCAGCCTTTGAAACATTGAGCACTTCACTGGTCTAGAGAATGCTTTTGTCAGTGGTTTCATAAGTTACAGTATTGGCGCAAAATGGCAACTGGAAGCCAGGGCACCACGGATTTGAAGCTCTTTTGCTCATGAACTGAACATGGGGGCAAGGCAGCTGGGGTTGAACCCCCTCGCCAGTCTGTGAGCATTCCAGAAGAGTTGGAGGCTTAGGATCCCCAGAAGCACCTTGGAAGGATGCTTCGTGTTTCAAGAATAGGACTTGGAAAGGGGCAGGCTTTGCACATTTTGCAAGGACACACGTTTCGAATCGATGTTATCCCGTGACTCACATCAGCCGAGGAGCCCTTTTGAGGAAAAGCCACCTCTGGATGTGCAGGCTAGTTGGGTGCACGGTCCCAAAGTGGCTTGTGAAGAGAAGAGCTTTGTCGCGTGCCCTTTTGACTCTAACCAAGTTACAGTAGAGAGTTTGTACACCAGCACTACAGGCCGCAGCAAAGCCACCTCCACCTCCAGAACCAGCTCCCATGTCCTGGCCTAAAGAAATTTTGGTGCAGACATTTTTAGGGCAGCTGAGTTGACCTTAGACTCAGGCCATGCTCCCAGCTCATGCAATCACATAGCACACAAAATAGAGGCTTTACGGGGTTGTTTTGTGAGTAGGCGTAGGCGAGTTATATGTCCATGAGTCGGGGAGCAAGGATTGTGCCCTCACTTTTTGCCTGGACAATGACAACCCAAACTCGATAAGCGGATAGGAGCGGAGTGGCACCATCACTTCCTCACCTCAATGGTCTGCTGTGAGTTCCATTTTTTTTGTCGCTATATTATATGGTTTTATTTGGGCCTCTCCAAGCGGAACTGCGTCACCGTAACTATTGTGATCTTGATCTGACAGTTCCTGCAAAGAAATGCTGAGAAGGAGAGCTGCTGTGCTTGAAGACGATGCTGTATGAGGGAAAGTGACTGGCAAGAAATGCGGTCATAGGAGCTTTCATTTTTGCAATGCAGACGAAGGATTTGACACAACTTTAAGAGAAACCCGTGCAAAAAGGTAATGGCCAAAACTGTTGATTGCAAGGGCGAGGTTGGTAGGTACTCCTCTCGTTCCTCTTTCCGTCTTTCCACTGGCCCTTTTGTGCCCGAACATGGCTCATCCCAATCCTACAGACATGAACTGAAACACCGTTCTCTTCACTTAAGGACGGTTGTTTCATTGTACCCATCACACAATACATATATCATATATCATACACATACCTATATATATATGTATGTTTCGCCGACAGACAGAGAGCATACATGTGTATGTGAGCAACTGCAGTGTGGGCAATTGCTTCTTGATGTCATGCGAGTCTGAGGCCTCATCTCCCTGCATCTCTCGATCAGTTGGCTGCAATGGAGGCCGAGCAAGCAAAGGCGCATCAGATAATCGCAGAAAGGCCATCCTAAACTTGTTGCTAAAATTGATTAAACTTGTAATGATGTAATGATGTGGCAAAAAGAAGCCATACCAGCTGCTTATATATATATATATATAGGAAGCTGAGGCGTGAAGTTTGATGTATTGCATCCCTCTTCAGGCGCAAGAGCCTGCGTTTGAACAACGTCCTCCCCTCGAGCAGGCCTTTTAAGCACAAAAATGTGGATCTTAGGAGTGGATGTTTTTTCCTCCACGATTTGATAGGTTGAGGGTGCACGGATTCCTGAAGACCCGAAATCTCAGGCGGCCGCGAGAATCTTTTTGAATTCTTCCAGTCCAACAGGTTAGCGGTCCAGTGATGAGTTGCTCCGGTCCAGTGAAGGCTGGCTACACCGAGCGCCTTGAAGAGGTCAACTTCTCAGAGGGGCCAGGTGTTCGGAAGGCTGCTGATGGACATGCTCCGAGGCTCCTGTTGTTGCGACCTTGCCCAAGTGGCAGCCCTGAGAAACTCAAGCTGCCAAAGATTGGCTGGGTAATGTTTGGAGCGAGCATCAAACTCTTGTTTGATAGCATTTTACAGGCCTTGAATAAGCATCAACTGACCTTCAAACACGGTCATCGAGAAGGGAACAACATTCCACACAAGCTGTAGCAAATGGCAGTGCCTCGAGCTTGCTCCACCTGGCTTAGGCCACCCGTCCCTGAGCAACCACGAGCTGCTCCCACACCAAGCCCAGTGGAGCCAAAGGCCATAGAAAGGGCTGAAACAAATAAGGACGGCGGCAAAGGAACAATGGAAACTGCAACCGAAAGGGTACAAACGCGTTGCTCTTGTGTTTTGCATTACGTTGACCTGATGCAGGCAAAGGCCAAACCGCCTCCACCCCCACCCCCACCATCTCCGCAATAGCCTGAGAGCGAATGAAAGCAGAGAGTTGCAGAACCTCACAAGCTCTCGCTTTGCAGCAATAGAGAGGATACGCCGTGGTTTATGTCGTACGTATTGAATCTGAGTGTCTCGGCATGTGATGCATGAAATCAGCAGTTTTGCCCCATGTGTGAGGGAAGAGCAGCTGAAGGGCGCGCAAGCTGCTGAGAGAGAGAGAGAGAGAGCGCGAGAGCGAGAGCGAGAGCGAGAGGGAGAGCGAGAGGGAGAGCGAGAGGGAGAGCGAGAGGGAGAGCGAGAGGGAGAGCCAGACCGAAAGCGAGAGGGAGAGGGAGAGGGAGGGAGGGAGGGAGAGAAAGGCAGTTTATGTGGATATTCCCCTATCATGTTTCTAGTAGATTTGCTCTTCTACCCTGGACCAGTTCCTACAAAGAGACAATCCATAAAATTCATATTTGGCCAGCTGCTTACTGGAGATCCTGCCAAGGTTCAATGTCTCTGGGGTCTGGCAATGGCTGGATGAACAGAAGATGAAGAGCGAGAAGGCATGAGCAGATAATTTCCTGCGGCCAGTCAATCTCAACAGACTCTCTCTAGATTTGGACCCTGGATGACTTTGGGCTGAAACCATCACAGCAAGGAGCAGAAACACTTGCTCGAAGAAGAGGTGCAATCACAACAATTGCTCAGACTCCTCTTCAAGAGAGAAGAGTCCTTGCAGATGTGTGCCAGGCTGTTTGTTTGTCAGAAAGCCAGCGAACGGCTGAGAAGATAGCCTCGCTCCGTGTGAAGCTAGAAGAGACGGAGGTTTGGTTTTGATGCCACTAGCTTTGCTGTGAAAGGAATATCCAATTAGTTCAACATGTCCTCACAATGTTTCTTAGCTCAGCCTTGGAGTGGCAGGCTGAACAAAACACCTTGTGCGAACAGGAAGAGTATGAAAAGGTGAGGTGGCAAGTCGATCTGTATCTGTATTTGTTAAGTTTCCCTAAAACTCTAGGAACCAAATCATTAGCGTGAGCTATCCTGAGTCCTAACTCGTAGCTATTTAAGCTACTAGCTTCTCCCTTACTTAATTGAGTAGGGAAGGGGGGGAGCGGGCGCTGCGGAATTTGGTATTGGGGTGAGGCCGATGCACTGGACGCAACGATTCAAGAGCTCAAGGACAAAATCTCTCGAGAGCTTGAAGAGGCCATTTGAGCGACAAAGCTCGGCATCTGTTCAAGAAGAGTAAGCTGAGGTGGCAATTGGAGCAAAGAAGCTCGTCAGTTTTGCCGAACACCTTTTGAGCCTGACTAGGCCCGAAGAAAGGAAGCAAGGAAACATTTTGTCAATTTTTTTACATGATTGTAAAGCTCTCTTCTTTTATTGTTACTGTCTACTGTTTATTGTATGCAATGAGCCTTGAGATTGGTCAGGGATCGCGCCTCGCTGTCCAAGCAAGCTCTGGAGCGGGTGGAGGCTCGGACCCAATCAGAGCAATGGAAAGCCCATCACATTTGGGCGAAGAAGGTCACGGTTTTGCCAAAATAGGTACCAGCAAATTGACCACGGGGTCTTTTGAAGAGAGAAACCCAATGAGTCGCCCACAATGTTTCTAGTGTAATTTCAATACGCCCGAACTGCAGGTCGGGTGGTTTTACTTGATATTGAAGAGAAAGAGCACATTATGATTCTAGCATCTATTGCTTCATGACCCTTTGAAGAAGCCAAATACAACATTGCTTTCACCACAGCCAGGCGATTCAAGGAGAAGAGCAGGAGGTGGGTTGTCATATAGTGCTATTATGTGCAAGCTCAGTTTGTTTTGACAGCAGCAACCTTGTCAGGAATTCCAGAGAAATGAAGAGCGATGTCAATTGCGTGTTAACGCAGAGGAGGCAGCCTTGGAAGACAATGATCGGCAACAGGTTAATAAGAGAATTTCAGTTTGTTGAAGCTTATCACGTTCATCGTTTGTCCGTGCATTTCAATTTGAAGAATTCTTGGGCTCTTGGGACTGTTCTTCAGTTTTCGGCTCGTTTTGCCAGGCTCGCATCGAGGCCGAGAGGTGCATCGGCGGTGTTCAGGGGTGTTCGCATGTCATTTTTTCACCCTGCCGGGTGTGCCTGAGGAAGCGCATGGACTTGGCGCAGTCCCATCTTGAGAAGGACTGGTCAACGCTAAAGCAGAGAGCCACTATTTGATACTTAGCTGTCGTATTGTCAGTCGATTTAGGCGCTTGATTCTTTTGCAGCCAGGATGGGCAGAATCTCAACGAGGAGTGGCAGCAGGCAGGTCAATAGAGCTTTCTTATAGGCTGCTTTTGAGCAATTCTTCTTTTTCTTCTTTCTTTGCTGGTCACTGGTCACTTTGCACGCGGACCTTTTGGCCAAAAAGGTCAATGAAGCAATTGACCAGCAGACGACAGAAGATGCGGCCGACGGGGCCCTAGAAGTGATGGAGTGTTTATCCCCAAACAGTGCTAGGGGTTCTTACGGTAGTAGTTCAGGACGGGTGTTTGATCGAGGTGCTCATCGGCGTGTGTGGCTAATTCGCTGCTATTTGCAGTACATTTAGTCACCTCGAGATGGTCGAAGTGCATTTCGACTGCGCAGGCTCCCAGAATCTGGTGGGCTGGCGCGGGACTGCGCTCTCGTTGTGGTGCCGCGCGGATTTTTCGACTTGGTCATCACGTTTCGTGGCAGGCGCAAGGGAAACCTCCTGGTTTGGTGGTCCAAAGTTGACTTTTCGTGACAGGAGATCAGAGTGGCCTGATGTCGATGTACAGGCTTTGCTTCAGGCGCAATACTTTGGACATGGTGGTGGTCTTTGGGGTGCCCTGTTTTCGTGACAGGTGCAGTGAGTCGGGACTTTTGGACATGGCTCATTTTCAGAAATCGGAGGAAGCCTGGAGCGAAAGCTGCGTTTTGGCATCTTGGTGTTGTCTTTGCAAGTGCTCTTGCTGCACCTTGTGAACCTTGAAGTGCAGATTTCGTGGCAGGCGCAGCATTTTGTGGACCTTGAGGTGCACGTTTCGCGGGAGCGCGGCAACTGTACTCTCATATATGTCATATGTGTGCTCGAACATCTCTTTGCACCTCTAGACCTTCAGTTCTAAGCACCACCACCCCCACCACCACCACCATCATCACCGCCATCATCATCACCACCACCACCGCCCCACCGCCCTCGCACCAACACCACGACGCACGACATCACTGCGATCGTCACCGCCGCGTCACCACCACCATCGTCGCCACCACCGTCGCCACCACCACCATCGTCGCCACCACCACCACCATCACCACCGCCACCCCCACCCACCACCACCACCGCCACCGCCACCGCCACCCCCACCCCCACCACCACCGCCCCCACCACCCCCACCACCACC